TTTGCAATGACTATTAATAAATCACAAGGACAAACTCTAGACAGAGTAGGAAGAGTCCTACCTGAACCCATTTTTGGACATGGTCAGTTATATGTTGCTTTCTCTCGAGTTCGAAGAGCGTGTGACGTTCAAGTTGTAATTTCTTCATCACAAGGGAAATTAGTCAAGCACTCTGAAAGTGTTTTTACTCTTAATGTGGTATACAGGGAGATATTAGAATAAGTTTAATCAATTTATCAGTCATTGTTTTTATCAATGTTTTTATATCATGTTTTTGTTTTTATATCGTTGTTATATCATATCTTTGTTGTTGTTATATCTTGTTATTTATTTATTTATCAATTTATATATTATTTTCATATACATTTTACTAATTTTCTTTCATCTCTGACACTTCTATTATGGAGAAAGGGTGAATAGTGATATTAAAATATTTCTTCTAAGTAATTTCCTTTCATTGTGCACAAATCCATGCACCAGGCCACTAGTATATTTATAAACATGGTAACCATTAAAACAGAAAAAAATCAATATTGAATAGGCAGTATTTTATTTTTTTAATTTTAACTCATTTTTTTAATTTTTATTTTTTTATTTATTTTTTAAATTTTATTTTATTGTTTAAAGTATTACAAATAGTAGTACATATGTCTTCTTTTCATTTTTATGCTTCCTTATGGTGTTGAAGGCAATATAAATGGCCTATAGGCCAAAGGTTATAGGAGGATTTAAAATGTGTGTGTCTTCTGCTCCCCTCTAGCATGTCTAGGCTTAGTTCTGGAACTTGTGCTCAGATGATCAGAGTCACGTTTTGTGACCAGGCCTGGAAGCATGTACTTTTTTCTGACCGGGAAGTCTGTCCTTTTGGCTGTTTAGTCAGCAGTGATCCTAGGAGGTCCCCAGGCAGAAGCGGAGACTGCCTCTGGCACCGAGGGGCCTGCAGCCTCCGGTGCTGGAGAGACGGAATTCCTCTCAGGTCCACAGAAAGACAGAGGGTGTGAAAACCTCTCGCCTGAAGGTGCCAGAGGTCATTCCCTGCTGCATGGCTCCTTCTCCACAATGAAATTGTGCCTCTTAACGTGCAGGAGTCGGTGGGGGCCCCAGGCTTTGTTAGTCCAAGGCAAAAAGTACAGCAAATTGTTTTCATAATTTGTTCCTCAGTGGCGTTATTAAACCTCTCCTCTGCTTCGAGGTGGGGAACAGAGAGTAGTTCCAGAAAGGTCCCTTAGCTGCCATCCTCGTCCTTTACTCCTTGTATCCGACCTTCCCGTAAGCCCTTTTCCACCCTTCTCCTTCCGTGAGTTTAATAAGCCTCTTGCCCAGCTACGGGTGCTCTTCTTCAACCCCCAAGAAAGTGGTGGGTTACATGTTGTCACATATTTTAGGTGCAGGTTATCTGTAGTCATTTTTACTGCTGATTATTATACAGGTGACTTCCGCCTACGGAGGCTGGCAGCTTCTGGTCTATATTTTGTGGGAAACTTATTTTATGTAACAGGGAAAGCCTCAGGGATTGGTTTTTAGGCTGAATTATACTAAGTGGCCTCTGAGAAAGCAGAGTGGCCAGTGGTTTAGATTTTATGGGATGTCCATTATCTTATCAGAAGTAAATGTGCAACCATCACCCTTTTACAGGACGGTATTAATTTTTCATCATTAGAGAATTCAGAAACTTATCAATGTGAATTATTTATTTCTAAAATAATTCCAGGGAGAAAGATCATTGCTTTCTGAACTGAATTATGTTTGTCACGACTTATTTGTCACAGTAATCTGCAGTCCATGTCTATGGATTATGTCCTCCTCTGAGCTTCCGCCAGGTGGTCAGGGACAGCCTAGGAAGGGCATAGCTGTCAGCTAAGGGCTCGTATTTTTTTCCTCAGATAGTTTTGCCTCCACATTAATTTTTCGTGTTTTATGCAGCACCTCACACTAGAAGTCACACATTTTCATAAACCATATTTATGCTATACCAAGGGAAACATGGGTGTGAAGGAGGGGGAAAGAACTAAGAAAACTTAAAAAGCTTACTTATCAACTCTTACATGGCTTCGTTTTTTAATAAATCTTAACCAGTTCACAGGTGTTGGAATTTAGAAGAGAGAGACCCATATAACCCATTGCTGTCATCGGCTTCTTACATTCAGTCACAGTGTATTTCTGGAATGGTAAAAAAAAAAAAAAAAAAATTGTTTTGAAAGGAAAAAGGAAGAAGCATGTGGCCGAAACCGGTTTGGCTCAGTGGATAGAGCGTCAGCTTGCGGACTGTAGGGTCCCAGGTTCGATTCCGGTCAAGGGCATGTACCTGGGCTGCGGGCACATCCCCAGTGGGGAGTGTGCAGGAGGCAGCTGATCGATGTTTCTCTCTCATCGATGTTTCTAACTCTATCTCTCTCCCTTCCTCTCGGTAAAAAATCAATAAAATATATTTAAAAAAAAAAAAGACGAAGAAGCATGTGATTATCAAGTAGCTGTTGAGTTTGCAAGAGAGCTTGTACTATTGTTTCTAGAAATATTCATTGTTGAGGGGAGTTAGGAATAAATACAGGGTCCTTTCACCCCGGGAAAGGAAGATTGTGTTATGTGCAGAATTACAAAATACTAATCTTTCATAAACCATGCTCCATTAATTCTTCCTTAGTTTCCACTTCCATTGTGTTTCGTGATCATGTTTCTTAACTGGCTCATGTGAGAAATTTAATATTTACTTAGTATTCAAGATATGTTGAAAGTAAGCATCTACCAAGTATCGATCAAGAATTAAATGGAATTTCACAAAATCTCAATTCTAATATTTTTAAAAAGTGATAAAGCCAGCCATCTTTGAAATAGATGCTGAGGAAACTATAAAAATTGCCTGGAAATATTACTAATTATTAGTATTTAATATATTTACATGTTTATATTTAAGAACTGGCATGCTATTTTTAAATCCTTACTATCTCTATAATGTTATTTATTTGTCCACATTACATTAATACGTAGAAATAGTATAGTACATAAGAATAGGGTTGATTGGTACCTCTAACCTCCCCTTGTAATACATTGGGAATCCAGCCTTAGCACCAGGTCTGTCATGCAATTGGTTGCCTAATTCCAACAGCACTAGACAAATCATGGTATGGCTCCATAGTGGAATACCATACAGCAGTGAAAAAGGATGACTTTCAGTTACACACAACAGCAAGGAAGAACTTAGAAACAAAATGTAAAGAAAAACGAGCTATTGGAGAATACATACAACATTACCATATCTTCAGGCATATAAATAAGTGTAAAACCGTAAGAAAAGCAAGGGAGCGATGAGCACAAACTCCAGGAATGGTTTCTTGGAAGGAGGAAAGGAGCAAGATGGGGAACAAACAGCTGCCACACTGGGGACTTCAAAACAGTAGGAATGTGCTTGTTCTAAAATTAGACATGTTTGTCATTTTTTTATACCTTACATGTATTTTATAACACTTTACATTTATTTTATAATTTGAATCTATACAATCCTATATAATAAGAGAGGGATATGCTAATTAGCCCAGATATGCTAATTAGTAATGACCAGATATGCTAATTAGTCACAACCAGTATGCAAATTGACCATCACTCCAACACACAAGATGGCCTCCCCCATGTGGCCACAAGATGGCTGGCAGGGGAGGGCAGTTTGGGGGGGACCAGGCCTGCAGGGGAGGGCAGTTAAGGGTGACTGGGCTGGCAGGAGAGGGCAGTTAGGGGTGACCAGGCTGGCAGGGGAGGGCAGTTAGGGGCTATCGGGCCAGCAGGGGAACAGTTAGGCATCGATCAGGCTGGCAGGGGAGTGGTTAGGGCAGGGGTGGGTAACCCCTGGCACGCATGCCAAACATGGCACACCAGTAACTTTTGCTGGCACTCAAAACCCTCTCATAATCTTCCATTTACAATTTTTTCCTTAATATCAACTTTTATTTTTCAGATAAATTCAGTGTAGGTTCATCTTAGATAAATAATTTTACATAACAAGTTATCTTAAAGACCATAGACAAGGATTGACGAGAGAGGGGAAGAGCAATTTCTATGCCTCTGCCTTAACTCTCCCTGCCTTCCTAGATCTGACCAGTGTTTTGGTTTCATCCACATACGCTTGTGAATCTTTGTTCTCAGTGATGAATTTTGTTTGAATTTTGTTAAGTCTCGTAATAGGAGTAACCTGACGGATGAAAGTAGTAGCTCGTGCATATCTCTGAAGGTCACGAAATATAAACCTGATGTCAAATCTCTGCCATCAGTGATGCAGCAACAAAAGTCCCACTGATAATATCAAACGGAGTCATAAAATTTTCTGTCGGACTGTCAGTGTACATGTGTACATTAAAAATAAATGTATTTTTCATCATTATATACTGTGTTTTTGTCACTCGAATGAATTTTATTTCTTCAAGGTTCTATACATACGTACACCTTAAGAGATATCAAGTAGGCGTAACATGTTCTCAAAAAATTAGGGTTGGCACACAGAAGAATTTTGAGTCAGAGATTTTGCTGTTTTTGGCATGCACTCACAAAAAGGTTGCCCACCCCTGGGTTAGGGGGTGATCAGGGAGGCAGGCAGGCGAGTGGTTGGGAGCCAGCAGTCCTGGATGGTGAGAGGGATGTCTGACTGCCCGTTTAGACCCGATCCCACAGGGCAGTCGGACATCCCTCGAGGGGTCCCAGATTGGAGAGGTTGGAGGCTGGGCTGAGGGACACCCCCCACAAGTGCACGGATTTCATGCACTGGGCCTCTAGTATGTAATAAAGTTAATTACTTTTCAAGTAAGTGCAATTGCAGAATTTAGTGTATGAATAACAGGATACCTGTTCTTGTATACCTGCAAGAAAAATATGCTTTTTTGGGAGGGGGAGGAGGCAAATTATAATGAGTTCTATCCCATTGCTTATGTTTAATGACTTAAATTTTCTTTTGTTAAAGGATTTTCTTTTTTCTTTTTCCTTCCATTCTCTCTGTCCTGCTGCTCCTCAATTTGTAGGAGAGATTTGAAGCGCTTTTCACCGTCTATGATGAGCAGGTTACGTTTCAGTTGTTTAAAAGCTTTAAAAGAGTCAGAATAAATTTCAGCAAGCCTGAAGCAGCAGCCAGAGCACGAATAGAACTCCACGAATCAGACTTCAATGGGAAGAAGCTGAAGCTGTATTTTGCACAGGTACTTCACAGAGCCATGGACACTGTTCTCTAACCTTGTTCTTCTCCATCCAAAAATATTAGCAGTTCTCCACTTTCCATATTCCATCAGAGGCCTTGGAAAGGAACAGTCCCAGGCAGCAAATAATGTAAAAATATTGTCTCCTTTATTGTACAGATACATAAATTTGTGCATTAAGCATATTTACCCTCCTATTTGCTTAAATTAGCAGTTAAAGGAATTCATTTTTCTATGAACTTTTCTGAACTGGGGTTTCATGAGGGAAATTTGAGAAAATATCTGAAATCATTTCTGGGTTCTGTAATTTGTATGAGATACCCCATTGAAAATGGCTGCTGGCCTGCGGGATGACCAGGGAGGTGCTGTAGGCTGTACCACAGGCTGTCTTAGACTTTGAGCATCTTGGAGGTTACCGAGAATTGGCTATACTCATTCTATTCATTGATGTGACTCTGAGACACCACTGTCTTCTTGGAAGAATTGGTGAAATAAAGGCTGATGTACTGTGTGCACATCACAGTATTTTATTTTCAACAGTATTTTTTTCTTGGTCTTAGCTTTCAAATTAAAAAAAGAAAGAGAAGTTTGTTATCTCGCACTCCCAATGCAAATCTAAATGAAAGATATCTGGACATTTCTTGGTGGAGTTGATTGAGCTGGAGACAAATAACCTAATCTCTTCCAAAATTGGAATTTAGTGCTTACTACCATTCATCATTCATTCATCGATTCACCCATTTATTTTTATTCAACTGTTACTCTATTGAGCACCTGATTCGTGCGGGCTCTGTTCTGTGCACCGAGTCTTCAGTGGTGAACCAGACAGACCCAGACCCCGTCACTGGGGGACGCAGACTGTTAAAGAGAAACTTTTCACTTTCTCCAAAGAGATGTAGTAATTAATGTAAAGCTGGAAATGAGAAAATAGGCCAGTGGCAGACGTTGAGTATCCTCTTCCCTGCAGGTTCAGGTGTCCCGTGAAACACGAGACAAATCGTATCTACAGCCGCCCCAGCCGGTCAAGCAGTTCCTCATCTCCCCTCCAGCGTCTCCTCCCGTGGGGTGGAAGCAGGGGGACGACGCGATGCCGCTTTTAAATTACGACCTACTCTGTGCTGTTTCCAAGCTGGGACCAGGTAACAAACATCTATCTTTCCTGTTTTTTTTCCAAAGACGCTTTTGTACTAAAGACCATATTGAGCTATTTGCATTCTAGCCACCTAGTGGCAGCCTGATCAGAGTGAAGGCTGAGTCCCAGCAGCCCGGCTTCACTGGCATTTGCTAACTGTGATCGTGAGCAATTTACTGAGCTTCCGCTCTTCTCAGCCTGTTTTTCTCATCTATAAAATAGGGACCGTGCCCGCTCCCTTTCAGTGTGGCTATAGGGTTAAATGACACTTGCATGACACTCAGTAAGTCTAACTGCAGTTTTCGCTGCTACAAATTCTACTGGTACCTCAGTTAGGGAATATTAGTTGCTTTCTCCCCGGCTCCGTCAGAGTATCAGGCAGACGGCTTCTCCACTGACTAGTATTTGAAGGAATTAATGGCGAATACCATATTATCCCTTCACAATTCTTTTTATTTATTTTCCTTTCTCTTCTCTTTTCTTTCTTTCTCTCATCCCTTTAAAATAATATAAGAAATCAGTGCCATTCATTGCTGGTTCAGACCAGTTGTCCGCCTAAGACCATGTTAGGTCTGTCGTAGGGGATACAAGGGTCATTTTGAGGGGAAATGGCTTTGTTTTGTTTTAGACATTAGAGCCGGATCATGTCTGAGGTCCTATAATAAAGCGATTGCCCATTCTGGCTGGAACATTACAAATGTCTCCCAAGGGAAAACCGAAACCATTACGAAGTTAAGAGATTCACTTAACTGTTCATAGAATAGTAATTAGCATTTTAACTCCTAGACTTCAGTGTTCCTTACTCACTTCTTTCTTTCGTTTTTTTTTGTTTTTTTTTAATCCTCACCCAAGGATATTTTTCCATTGATTTTTAGAGAGAGTTGTGGGAGAGGGAAAGACAGAGAGAAATATTAATGTGAGAGAAACACACGATCGGTTGTCTCCTGCACGAGCCCTGACCAGGGCCCAGGCCAGGGAGGAGCCTGCAACCAAAGTATGTGCCCTTGAATGGAATCGAACCCGGGACCCTTCGGTCCATAGGCTGTCGCTCTATCCACTGAGCAACACTGGCTAAGACTTTTTTTTTAAGTTTTTTTAAATTGATTTTTACAGAGAGTGGTAGAGAGAGGGATAGAGAAAGAGAGAAACATTGATGTTAGAGCAAAACATCGATCAGCTGCCTCCTGCGTGCCCCTTACAAGAATTGAGCCTGAAAACCAGGCACGTGCCCTGACCAGGAATTGAACAGGCAACCTTTCAGTGCACAAGGCGACGCCCACCCAACTGAGCCACACTGGCCGGGGCATTGAAACAGCAAAACTTCATAAGAACCTTGAAGTCTCAAAGCTCTAACGCCAAAACAAGATAAAGTGCTCTGACATAGGATTTATTTTTTTAAATACATTTTTTATTAATTTCAGAGAGGAAGTGAAGGGGGAGAGAGAAATAGAAACATCAGTGATAAGAGAGAATCCTTGATTGGCTGCCTCCTGCACACCCCCCACCCTGGGGATGGAGCCTGCAACCTGGGCATGTGCCCTGACTAGTAATTGAACCATGACCTCCTGGTTCATATGTCGATGCTCAACCACTGAGCCACAACGACTGGGCTGACATAGGATTTAGAGATTGAAAAACCAATAATCAGCAATTAAAATGTGAGTAGAACAAGAAGTGTCCAGAGACAACGCACTTCTTTTTTGCTGTTTACCTCCACAGGAGAAAAATACGAACTTCATGCAGGAACCGAGTCGACACCCAGCGTGGTGGTGCACGTCTGTGAAAGTGAAACGGAAGAGCTAGAGGAAACAAAAAACCCCAGACAGAAAATTACCCAGACCAGGCGCCCGGAACCTCCAGGCACAGCCCCGAGCGAGCCCCAGACCTTCGACTGTGCCCCGTGAGGCCTGATTGTGGCGCGAGGCAGCTGCCATCGCGGGCGCTGGTCATGGAAACAGTGCCCCCTGCTGGGGCACTGCTGCTCGAGGTGTAGGTGAGGTGAGCGGGCATGCGGGCAGTGTGTTCACCACGCCTGCGCCGTGGACACGGCCGTCTAGAGTAGAGGCTGATGTTCTGAGAAGCACTGCAAGGATTGGCCCCCAACATGCAGCATCTCTTGACCACTTTGAACAGTAGCCAACTAGGAACACGGCCCCCTCCAGGAATGTTCCTCTCCCTGATTCTGTGTAGCATGGAGAACCCCCAACTAAAACTATCGTCGCCGAGCGCAGCCCCGTTTTTATGAATTTAAAAGTAGTCTTACAGTTTTAATAATCTAGTGTGGGTATTTTTGTACTGGTATGACAGCTTCTAACTAAACCCCTTGATCAAAGCTTAATTACTATTCCGTATACCTGAAATTGTTTGCACGTCAAGAAACCTGAAGTATAGAATAATTCATAGAAAATCATTTTTCTCTGGTATTTTATTTCCTTTAACTTTGGGGAAGAAAATGCCAAATTCACTTTGACCATCAGAGTCTAATGGCACAGATCCGCGTGCGTACTGTTCTCTGCCCTGGAATCCAAGGAAAGCGATGGGCACACCACTGTCCGCGTTTGTGGTCCCTCCCAGGGGAGGAGCTGCTGCTTTGGCTGGGGGATCGCCTGGAGCTCCCCTGCTTATGGCTCAGGCGGCTGCCGCCGGGCCTGCTTGTGGCTCAGGTGGCTGCCGCCGGGCCTGCTTATGGCTCAGGCGGCTGCCGCCGGGCCTGCTTGTGGCTCAGGCGGCTGCTGCCGGGCCTGCTTGTGGCTCAGGCGGCTACCGCCGGGCCTGCTTGTGGCTTAGGCGGCTGCCGCCGGGCCTGCTTGTGGCTCAGGTGGCTGCCGTCGGGCTTGCTTGTGGCTCAGGTGGCTGCTGCCGGGCCTGCTTGTGGCTCAGGTGGCTGCCGCCGGGTGCCGCTTGTGACCGTGTGCTAGCCTATGGCATCCCAACTGCTCCCAGCCACCTGCTAGGCTCTCCTGTGCTGTACATATTTGTGTGTCATTCATAGACTTTAAATTAGAAAAGGAAATGGTCAGATTTTCTTACAAACCATTTTAAAAGTGTCCATTTGAGCATTTTTCATCCTGAAAGAAAAGTCACACTTACTCCGTTTCTGTGAATCAGGGAGAGATGGGAGATCATTTTGGTAGTCAGACTCCTTTTTTGGTGAGGCATTTTACAGTAGGCATTTCCCCCTAACAGAATTGTTTCTCACTTGGGTTTCAGAGTGGATAGTTGAACTTCCTAACGTAGAAGCAAGAGTCTTTTTAATTTGGGGGGTCTGTTCAGACTTTAAAGACCTTTTTATAGAAAAGTCTCATAACTAAATGCTTTGCTCTGCTGATTCTCTGCTCACACGGCTGTTTTATTTTATGGCAAATGTCTGGAGTGCCTGGTCTGTATGTAAAGGGGTTGCGCACCTGAGTTTGGCCTAATACAATGTGGCTACTGCTATAAAAGAGAAAAATGCAGACATGCAGGCCATGATATCTGTACATTTTTGGTAACATGTTTTTGTGGTTTAGATGTTCTTATGGTAGACTTTATTTCTGAGGACTTAACTATATTGCAAAAAAAGTTTTGTATGTTTTCCTTGCTCTGAAACACTCTGAGGTGATAAACTCTTCTATTTGTATGTATCTACCACTGCTGCGCCTCCGTGTAAGTTCAGTTCAGGTTTGTGATTCCACAAGTAATTTATTAAATTCAGATCACCATTTGGCAGTCCATCATTGCACCATGGACCCTCCAAGCCAAGAAATGAATGTATTTTCAGCAGTTGGGGATTTTAAAATTTCCTTTTAGTTATATTTATTCACTGTAATTTTCTAAGTGACCAAAATCCATGTTTTATTATTTTGCTTGGTTCTTATTCTCTATCTTCCAGTTAAGAAAGAGTATTGTGTCCTTAACATTGAAAACTTTTTAAAAAGTCAAGCAGTGTTGCCCTGGCCAGTGTTGCTCGATGGTTAGAGTATCAGTCTGTGCACCAGTGTCTAGGGTTTGATTCCCAGTCAAGGGTGCTTACCTGCGTTGCAGGTTCAATCCCCAGCCCAGTCAGGACGGGTGCAGGAGGCAACCAATCAATATGTTTCTCTCACATCAATGTTTCTCTTTCTCTCTCTCCCTCTCTCTCCCCCTCTCTTCCTTCCATTCTCTCTAAAAATTAGTGGAAAAAAATATCGAAGCAGTGTTAGCCTGGCCAGATAGCTCAGTTGGTTAGAGCACCATCCCAATATGCCAAGGTTGTAAGTTCAGTCCCTGGTCAGGGCACAGACAAGAATCAACCAATGAATGCATAAATAAGTGGAACAACGAATCAAAAGTCAAGTAGTGCAAATTACCCCAAATTTTTGTTCTCCTTTCTTTTTTGAGAGAGAGCATTAAATAAATTGAACAAAATCTTAAACTAAAATTAAATATATATATATATATATAATTATTTAATATATAGTTAACTTTTCTGAATGGGGAAATTAATATTTTTATTCTTTCTAATATAATATTTCAGTAAGATGAACTCTGAAAGAAAAACTACTAAATGCTCATTAACTTTTTAACATTATGAAACCAGGATCTCCATGGAAAAAAATATCCAAGGTTTTCTGGTGTCCGTTCTTTTGACTATTTTATATCCAGTTCATGTAACCATTTTGCAGGCGATGAGTCTCTGTGTCCTTTTTTTTTTTTAAGTTCCTTTAAGTACGTTTATCTACATCTTTTCTTCTTTGAAATTGAGGTATTTAGATTTAACTATGATAGTATAGTAGCCATGTTTTCTTCAGAAATCATAACCTCTTCTTGGGAATCCAGTCATTTAGAGAACTGTGAGGGAGGAACATGAGGCTTTGGTCAGGAAAGCGTGCGTGAGGGCATGTAAGGACAGCCATAGGGCCTGTGGAGCGTGGCTCTCACGTCCTAGGCTCTCAGCATACCCACCTGAGGAAATCGGAAATGAATCCTTTCAAAGCATACTGGTTGCCCGGCTGGCATGGCTCAGTGGTTGAGTATCAACCTATGAACTAGGAGGTCGGGGTTGATTACCAGTCAGGCGCATGCCCGGGTTGCGGGCTCAATCCCAGTAGGGGGCGTGCAGGAGGCAGCCAATCAATGTTTCACTATCATCGATGTTTCTGTCTTCTCTCCCTCTTCCCTCCTCTCTCTCTAAAAAATCAATAAAAACATATTTTAAAAAAATAAAAATAAAGTAACATCTCTAATTTAAAAAAAGAATGGAGATCCCCTCATAGGGCTGTTTGAGGATCAAATCAGATGCCTGTTTGTGAGTAGCACACATCAGAATGTCTGGTACGCACCAGGAACGGCCTGTGAGCGCTGAACACATGAGATAAAATTTTGAAATGTCACACGGAAGGCTTTAGGTAGCACGGTTGGCACGAGCAGGCCCTGCCCCAGCATGGCTGGGCCTGTGGCATGACGAAGGCTCTCCCTCCTCCCGCACACCAGCCAGCTTCTCTCTGGCATGTGTCTTGCCTTTATCTTCCGTAAGTCTTGTGATTGGAAAATTCCAGCTTCAGGTCATTGAGCCAGTGACTAGTCACCCCGTGTGGTTATTATGGGGAACTAAAGGGAGGAGGGTCAGGATGTACAGACCAACACCGGACAGACGTGCGAGGAACCAGCACACACTAACACACAGGTGCACAAACACCCATCGCTCCCAGAGCTGTGCTGGAAGGCAGTCGTTGCGCGTCCACAGAGACCAGCATTTCTGGAGTGTGTGTTGTGCGGGTAAAGATCCTCACCAACACTCCAGCGCTCACTTAAGCTACTTGTATTATGTTACTTAAATGCAACTTAAAATTAGGCAGAAATGCCTTGTGCTTGTAACTCTTACAACTACAAAAGCAAAACATCTACCAATTAAGCATGAAGTATAAAACACTAACATTCGAAATAAAATGCATTGGTATCATATTTGGCTGAAACCAATTGCAGTTTGCCCTATGAATACAAGACCGACTGCCCTGAGTGGCCACTGTTCGTGTCTCTTGGGTCTGGATTATAAGTATCACTGAGAAATGTAGGTAGGAACGTTCTAGTGGTTAAGAATGTGGACTCGGAAGCCAGGCAGCCTGAGTCTTCCTTAACCAGCTTTTTGACCTTGGACAAGTTACTCAATCTTTCTGACGTTGAAGTCCTCATCTGTGCAGTGGCGATAAGGATGTTCTCACAGGAATGCTGGGAAGATTCAATGAGTTAAGGCAGCGCTTAGAGCATTGCCTGACGCACAGTGAAGGCCCGATAGCTGGTGTTAATGTCATTTCCTGCTGAGAACGAATGACGTCCGTTCTCCTTGTCTCTGTGAACTGCTGCAAGTGGCTGGTTAGTTAGTCATATTTGTCAGGTGTCATCATGAGGCCTTCCCGGGGGGGAAATAATTCTTAGCATGTGTAGCCCACTTCGGTGCGTCTGTAAGTGGCCCTTGACTGCCGGGCACCACCAACAGGAAAGGCCCCATGTTCAGAAACCACTTGGCAGGGGTTCCTCCTTAGGTGGCCACCCGGATCCCCCCGGCCATGCTTGCTTCTGATTTCACACACACACACACACACACACGTAGATCCCCCCGGCCATGCTTGCTTCTGATTTCACACACGCACACACACGTAGATCCCCCCGGCCATGCTTGCTTCTGATTTCACACACACACACACACACACACACACACGTAGATCCCCCCGGCCATGCTTGCTTCTGATTTCACACACACACACGTAGACACATGTGCGTATCATTCACATGCTTTTTCAGATTGCTTCCCAAGTGAAAGCACAAAGTTTCAAACTTTCCATAGACACGGACCACAGTGCGGGGATTGCCAGGGATGAGGTGGGGAGGGGGGTGGAGGAGAGTGCAGGGGTGATACATGGTGATGGAAGGAGACTGACCTGGGGTGCTGAGTGAGGTGCGGTGGGATTGTGCGCCTGAAGCCTGTATAATTTTTTTAACCAGTATGACCCCAATAAATTCAATTTAAAAAGGAGCTTTTACATATGGAAAAGATTGTTTTTACAGAACCACTGCCCGGAGCCAGACAGAAAGACTATCGCAGTTTCACTGTTTCATTTCTATTTTCTTTAAAACTTTTCAGTTTTCTTTCTTTTGCCTTGCCTTCAGAATCTCATCGCTAGCACTTTTTCCAGTTGATGTGCCTGTCTCTCTATTCTCATTGGGTCCCGAAGACCAGGACTGGTTCTGGTGAAGCTCCATGAACTTGATTTTCACCTTGACCTTGGTTTCCCTTTTGTGGAAGCTCTAATTTCTTGCACAAGCTTCTTGCTTTTTAGTGGCATTTCTTTTCCCATTAAGTCACTCACTTTTTATAACATCCAATCTACTGTGTCATTAAAATCTTTGTTATAGATTAGAATTCATTTATAACTGATAATCATTGATAGTGCTAGTATTTCCATAATTCTGCTCCTTTCCTTACATTTTTATATTTGTGTACATGGAGGCTAAGCAGTATTATCAGTGACAATAAAACAGCTACAATAACCAAAAAAGAAAAAATGTTGTGATATAAAGTAAAAAGATGTGGCCCAGCTGGCTTGGCTCATAGTTGAGCATCTATCTATGAACCAGGTGGTCGTGGTTTGATTCCCGGTCAGGGCATATGCCAGGGTTGCGGGCTCGATCCCCAGTGTGGGGCGTGCAGGAGGCAGCCCACTGATGATTCTCTCTCATCATTGATGTTTCTATCTCTCTCTCCCTCTCCCTCTCTGAAATCGATAAAAAATATTTCTTTAAAAAAAGGTAAAAAGATTTGATTTCTCAGAATCTCAATCACAGAGCTGAAGGTGACCTTGGGAATCATAGTCCAATCCTCATGGCACGCAGATTAGAAAACAGAGGTGATGTGACTTGCTTGAAAACCCACAGAAAGGCAGCTCAGGGACTAGAGTTGGCATTCCCAGCTCCCAGACCAGCACTCCTTCTATTTTTGCTTTCATTAGCCCCCGAAAGAAACTCAGAGGCAGTGAATCCATGTCATTCAAAAACAACAACAACAACAAAAGCCAAAGGGGAGGGCATTTCCCCCTAAGGGGATACAATGAATAAGGCGATGAAAAATCGTAGGTAATGAAGTTGGTAACTTAGCAACTGTAAATAATAAACTGGATGTTCCATATTTTGTTTTTGCTGTTACTGTACCACTAGTATTGGAATGTACTTTTCCATAGTGTGATCTTGGTAGCCAGCATTTGCTTTGACATTTATGTGGGCTTTCCCAGATTTTAGTAGTGATTCCATTAAAATAGGGTCACACTTGAGATGTGACTCCAGTGAAGCCGAATGAGATCAGCGCGATTAGGAGAGGGTGTGCGGTGCAATGACACTCGCAGTGCTGGTAACACTGTGAAAGGCTGACAGCTGACTGCGCTTCATACTCTTACAGAGATTTTTACGGACCATGGCTTTACTTATGAAGGGGGAAACCCCAGGCGTAATGAAGCAATGGAAAATGTATGAAGTTCTTTGACGCCTCAGGTTCACCATCTGCCGGACATGATCTTTCTCTCCAGAGCTGTGTGCTGCACTCTCCCTTCCCCCACTCCTGGGCATCCTGTACGAAAGGAAACATTACCTGTAGTAAGTGTGCCAGTATCTATATATATAAAAGGCTAATGTGTAAAGTATCACCTTGGAAGTTCTCCCGGGAGAGCTGGAGTTCAATCGCTCGCTATGACAT